TTGATTAGACCCTATAGTGCGTCAAACTCTCTGTTTGACACCTCAGGTTGGGTATCGGCCTTCAGCATCTCTTTTTCTGAGAAGACGGGTTTCTTTTATTGTCCAGTGGTTCTCTGAATTAATAGCAAGGCAGGAGTTTAAACCCCTCTAAACCTTGTAAATGATGTCCTTTCTTGGCTCACAGTGGAATTCAAGGATAAGAGTCAGATTAGCTGCTTTTAGAATTACATAATAAATTTCTATCTACTGTTTATTGCTGTTTATGTGTTACTACTTAATTTGAATAAATAGAAAAGTTAAATGCACACTGTTTTTTATTAGTTGAATCAGCAGGTGTGGAGTTGAATATGTTAGTTGATTAACTAAATAGCATACACGTCCTTTGCACCTGTTGGACAGTATCCAGTTCCTAGCACTCTTTTGATGCCATGAAGACATGGTTCACTCGGTAACAACCACTAAATTTTTAACTTGACCCTGAAGTGATAGCAAGACTGACATTTACAAAGTGCATCCCAGCTGACATGCCAGAATCAGATCCAGGAACTGCTTTGGAGTGTGTGCAGTTAAACTTGTCGAGGATTGAGACCAGTATAAGTGCTTTTGTTTCTTTTGTTTTAGATTTTGATGCTGTAAGACTTACCCAAGATGCCTTAAGTCCACACCTCACAGGTCCTGGGAGTCAGTTAATATAAGCACACCGAGCCAGAGTGATGCAAGATTTTAAAATTGTTGGCTGATTTCCAAAGACGAGAAACCCCACATGTGACAATAAAAAAACGATAAAAATCATAGATATTGTATACCAGGGGTGCCCAACCTTTTTTGAACCAAGAGCTACTTTTGATGTCGGCAGTTTGCCGAGATCTACTCGTCTAGTCTCAGTATAAAAAAAAAAAAAAACATAATTTTTCATCTCCCTACTCCTCACTTCTTTAAATAAAACAGAACGTAATGTGTTGCTAGTTTCATTTAATTTAAAGTATCGTCAAAAAGAAAATAATTGTATAGGTCTTCTGGACGGGTTATTCTCTAATGAAACGTTTCATCTCTCCTCCAAGAGACTTCTGCAGTCTGAGAGTTTCAGGCAAAATTCAGGCTTTTAAGCCCTGCCTCCGTGTGACTGATACTCGCATCACATTGCAATCGTTGACACCTAATTAACACTTATTGTTACCAGTGGGTGGAGTGATACTGGCAATAGCCGCGCTGTAGGAGGAGGACAACTAAGAACGGAGGCCTCCACCTCTGTTTAATGATGGACGGTCTTTCTTCACAAAAATGGCTTCTTTTACTCCTCTCTCAAACCAACGTTCCTCTCTATCAAGAATGAGAACATCCTCATCTCTGAAAGAGTGACCGCTGGCCTGTAAATGAGTGAAAACTGCAGAGTTCTGGCCATTAGACGTAGCTCGTCTGTGTTGGGACACCCCCTGTTAACAATAAGTGTTAATTAGGTGTCAACGATAGCCATGTGATGTGAGTATCGGTCACATGGAGGCAGGGCTTAAAAGCCTGAATTTTGCCTGAAACTCAGACTGAAGAAGTCTCTTGGAGGAGAGATGAATCGTTTCATTGGAGAAGAACCCGTCCAGAAGACCTATACAATTTTTTTCTTTTTGATTTTTTTACCTGGATTACTGAGATGCATCAGGACATTAAAGTATCGTCAAACAAAACTATCTACTTAACCATATATTTACCTAAAAAAAGAAGAAAAGATAAAATCCTTACTTACAGTAACTCCTAACAGAGAAACAGAAAAGTGATGCTCGAACAAAAGGATCAATTTTTTACCTCCTTCAATTAGTACTCACTGTAACATGCGAGCTATGAGGGGTGGAAACCTGCACACAGAGAACCACGGACTTAAATAACTTTGGAGCAGGGGAACTCGTCTCCATTTATTCAAAGAACTCTCCTCTCTTTCTCTCCATACAGGGGAGGAAAAACAAAACAAAAAACTTAAGTCAAAGCACACAGTATAAAACTGTCTTGTTTATACTATTACAAAAAGTGACTTACGATGGTGCAGATTCACATATCTCCAACAGCTATTTCAAACCTTCATCTCTGTGTAGCATGCAGGATGGTGTCATCTGTAGGTGCTGAAGGCCTCAGTCCCTCACTGGTCCAGACTGCCGGCTCCAGACCATTCAAAGAGTTCCACCTGTTCACCACCTGACAAGACACACACACAGACACGTTAGGTAGAGAAAACAACTGCAAAATAACCAACCAACCAACCAACCAACCAACCAACCAACCAACCAACCAACCAACCAACCAACCAACCAACCAACCAACCAACCAACCAACCAACCAACACAAAGGTGCCAGTCAGTGTATAAGACACTAGTCTGGTCTACAATGTAATAAAAAACAACATACAGACCCATTGTGACAAGTCTAGAGGAGACAACTTTTTATGCAAGAAGCTATATATAAATAAATGTATCTCTACCTTATTGGGACTTCTGACACTGCCCAGGGTCCCATAGGCGGACAGTATGAGGTGTAAGCAGGTCTCCAGATGATCACCAGTCTTTGTGGATCTGTTCTTGGACTTCATGATTTTCATGTGAGAGAAAGCTGACTCCAGAACTCTCCATCCATGTGACTTGTTGCTCTGGATTTGATCCCCATGTCATTTTGCAGAGTCAAAACCTCATTTTCAACACCGGAGCAGTCCAGCTGAAACACGAATTTGGACACATCCATCCATCCTGGTGGACAGCTGCACGTCTTATAGCAGCCACTTTTATTTTTAAAATCACGGAAAAGCACGTCTGCAGCATCAGACACTTCTTTCATAAATTCGTCATCGCTGAAAGACGTTTTCCGCAGTGTTCTTTTGTGTTGAGGCAGGCATGGGGCTGCATTAGCAACCTTAGCTTAGGAGGGGGAATCCATCTCGCAGCGTCGGTCCATTGTTTTGAAAGAAATGCAGTTCCACGTTATCCTTTTTGGACAAGCCAAGGCAGCGCTCGAATTACATACGAGTCCTCTTCCCACTCCAGGTGAAAATAAAAAGTTTTTAATTTGCTTGTTAGCTCTCTTTCGTTCATTTTTTTTCCGCCTCGCTGCTTTGTTGTGAACACGTGACCCTAAAGTCTCGCGAGACTGTGTTCGGAGTGCTGTTTCACCGCACCCAAAACTCGCGAGACTAAGTCTGTGAGCATGGCTTGTCAGCTGTGCTGGTGAGGGCGGAGGGAGCGTGTTCAAGGCTGGAATGTAAACTCCTCTCGCCTCCCACCTCCACCGCTTCTGCCGGAGAGCTCAACGAGCGAACATGAGTCCCGGGCCGGAGCGCAACTGTTGCTCTCAGCTCACGAGCCGGCTCTCAGCTGTTAGAGGAAGGTTGTGCTCCGTGAGCTACTGGGAATCAGCTGACGAGCTACCGGTCGATCGCGATCGACTGGTTGGGCACCCCTGTTGTATACCAAGTTTGGTTCTACAGTGTGTGGTGTACAGCCACATGGCAAAATGCACACGAACAGGCTTCACTCACAAATGTTCAGACGTCTGACAGGAAACGTAGCGAGACTTCTCGAGATCAAACGTGTGTTCAGAATAAACAAAGTTGGCAGATGAGGAGGAAGAAATGGTGATACAAAAAGACTTCCCCGACACCAGCTTTCTGGTGTTCTGTGTTTTGGATTCCTCTCTGCGTTTTTGTCTTCTCGCTTTGTGATCGGCTAGACGTCACATTCAACAGGCTGCAGGGTTTGTCCTCAGGGAACACCACACACCAAGACAATCCAACACGTTGAACATCCCTGATTTGAGGTCAGAGCGGTCCTGATGCCCTTCTGAGCAGACTAGATCACTTTTAACACACCACACACAGGAATTCCTCATAAGGTTATCTTACGAACAATCACAATCATTGAAGCATCCTTAAGATTGTCAGAAGGGCAAAATCGGACTATCTATCTTGCCATGTGAACCCAGAATTACATTTACCAATTTTTTTTTATTGTGGTCAGTAGTACGAAAAGCGTCAGTTCCTAAATCACTCGCTTGATAAGAAAGAGCACAAGTTGAGACCACATCACAGTAAGAACATGTTTTTTACTGTAGCTATAGGACAAACAATCACTCATTGTGAGACAAAGATAGATTGAATTGATAGGAAAAAACAATTGTGATCAAGGTTTTAGTTTCTCTGAAGTTTTAACCAATGTTCTTAAGCGTTCGTTTCGTAGAAACTAAACTTCAGTTTAGGGGTTTCAACCACTTCTTTTAGTTCTTAAATAAAGATCAGAGGCATAGTGTTGATAATTAACCAGTGTGACATGATGTCAGTCTTTTCTGTTTGACAGTTAAAGGATGTCAATATATTTTATACAGAACAATTGAGAATGTCACATTCAATGCACAATCCTTGCTCTGAGAACCGTAAGGAATCCCAGATGAGCTTTTAGTCTCAGTAGAAACATACTTTTTCTGCCAAATACCCTCCGAAGCAACATTTGATGAGTTCCAGACTGAATCTGAATTGTAAAACATGTCAGCAGCATTTGTAACATCTGTTGAATTGTTGCTGATTGCTAAATATCACATTCTAAGCACCGGGCTCATCAAAGCAGTTTTTTTATTCTTGATATTTGCGTGCAGACTTGTAATGGATTCTTTCCACTCCCTAACCATGCAAACTTTGTTAATCACATTGAAATTTCCCCAAAATATTTTACAGGAAAACGGTAATTTAACTGACGTTATCTTCAATTTTCCCATTTTTTTTACTGTCCATTTTCCCCCTCCGCTGTTGAAAAAGCTTATCTAATTTTTCAGTTTGACAATCTGAAACCATAGCGCTGTTACACAAACATCACCTAATTTTTGATATTGTTAAAAGTTGCTTAATGAAACAGGTTTTCTTTAAGTCTAAAGGGTTAATATTTGTGTTAAATTGGAATCGTCAAGCTCATGAAAACGTTTATTGTGCCATATATTTGAGCTACATTTCTTATAACTTTGCTGTGCTCTAATTACAGGCGCTGAGCGAGAGGCCGTTCATCCAGAAACTGTTTCGCCCCGTTTCCCCTGAAGGCAACACACACACGCTCGGAGACCTGCTGAAGGAGATGTACCCGGATGCTCTAACTAATGATGGTAAGCCAACAACCAGGCGCCGGTACTGGGTGGAAACATTTGGGTTTCACTTTTAAGTAATGAAAAAACATCTTGTTCTTAGATTTGTTCTTATTTGATGCAGTTTTAAATTGAAGTATTTATATTTGGAGTAAAATTTCTAACAAAACGTTCTCACACACCAAACATCACATTCATTTGACAGCTTACTACCACAATCCATCTGTTTTTTTGTTTTTTTTTAGCAAACGTGGGTCATGTTCTTTTAATTGGAAGTTCTGTATACCATAGTTCTACCAGCCTCAGTGCATTGCACCCAAAAGCTATGCATCTCTCCTAAAACTGAGGCAATAAACCGAGCTGAGTTGCAGCTGTGCTGAAGGAGCGCTGATGATGAAAGACGAGATGAGAGGAGAATTATTGGGAGAGGGCAAGCAGCAGTCTAAACACACAGTGTCTGCAAGGGTGGGGAAGAGGAAGCAGATAAAGAGACAATAGTGTGTCTGGACAGAAGACCCGCAGGAGACTCACCTGCACAGTGGCGGCACCCATTAACACCACCCTCCTTCTGTCTGCCCACCTGTCTGCCCAACATTCACCTCTTCCGTTTTCTTTATATGTCTCATTCACTTTCTTTTCCAAGGAAAGCGTTTGTGCTGAAACTTAGGTCCTACAAAAAATTTCAATGAAAAAAATTAAAAAAGAGGTGCCTAGGTTTTAGGGTTTATCTTTTTTTGTAACGAGGTGGCTACAGTATTCAAAATCAAATATTTCCAATTAAGATTAAGAAACACTTACAAGGGGTACAGATAGGATTGTTGTCATTCACCACAACTAAAATTTTACAAGTTTTTTTACTTTAACACAGAGCTGATGTAGTGTCTAATCCGCCTTTTCCAGGAGAGAATGGGTAAAAAAGTAAGGTTAAACAAACCAGACATTTAGGCATTTTAGTTTGCCATGCTATTTTTAAACATGTTTAACACCAACTGTTTAGAAACCCTGCTCGGACTGACTTTTAGAAATGCGAGTCAGCATTTCCGAACGTAGATTGCATTGCAAAACAAAACAAAAACATTTACAAATGTTGACTGCTGTTTGCGACAGCATGTAAGTTCTGTATAAACTTAGACTGGCAATCTTAAACAGTTGAGAAAGTTAGACAAACACTATGATCTGTGCTATTCTGTACTGTGGTCCTGTAACTCAGAATGCACTTGACCCAGTTGGAGTGACGTACAGCAAATATAACATAGTTTTATTACAGAGCCAAACACTTTAAATGATTTTCTGAAGTTTGTAGCACTTATTAGAGCTAAATTTACTGTCACTGCATCCTAAAATAATGCTACTGATTAGTTTTTTTATTATTTTGTTCTGTATATGTGTGTGTTTGTGTGTGTTTGTGTGCGTGTGTGTGTGTGTGTGTGTGTGTGTGTGTGTGTGTGTGTCAAAACAGTTTTTGGACATTCCTTTGTGTTGCTTTTTCTGTCAGTAATCAGTTTGATGCTTCAAGCAGCATGAAATTCAGCTAAAGGCCCTGTCACACTAGACAACTTATGGACATTTTAAAGACATCTACACTGAAGATGGAATTGAAAAAAATAAACAGAAATCTTCTTTTTGGCGTGTACATAAAGTAATTCGAATAAATTGATCAAATATATAACTTTTATTAGCAATTTAGACATAAAATATGTTTCATAAGTTGGCATAACAATGATGTCTAGTGTGACAGGGCCTTAATCTTAGCTGCTCTGAACTTTAAGATCTTAATGAATAATTGCTTTTGCATTGATTTTTTTTTGTTTTACAGTTTTTAAACAGTTTCACTCCTAAAAAAATGAATGTAACTGTCATTAGGTTTTTTTTATTGCTTGCGTGACTATTTAGTGGGGACAGAAATCTGCCCTTACTCCCCTTTTCTCTCCACTTGTTTCTTTCTCTCTGTTGTTTCCCTGATCTAAGACTCATTTTCCCTCTTTGATCCCATATCTCTCTCTCATGTGTAGTCTTCAACATCTTCTGTCTGTTGTGGACGTCTTTTATGTCTTTGACCTTAAATCTCAGCTTTTCTTTTCTCTCCTCCCCCTCTAGAGTCTGCCAGCCTGCCTGGTTGATCAAGGTGAAAGTGGCCCTTTTGTCTCCAGTCGTTTGTTTAGTTTCTGCCTCTTCCTCGGCTGGTAGATGAGTTGGGTGATAGCCGTGGATTATGGTGGTGTTTTTGGATTAAAGGGCCCAGGAAGTGTGCTCAGGGACTGTGTAGTTTTGTGGTGTTTGAGGAGGGGGATTGCTGGTACTATTGTTCAGGAGTTCAGAGAACTTTTTTCTAGGACCCTACATTTAAAAAAAAAAGAAGATCTGGGGTGCTCCAGTTCTCTGTGATGTTTTAAACATCAAATAACTTCTTTTTTTTCTTTTCAAACGAACTTCCTCTCTGTTATGTCTGACAGAGGATTGCTGTTGACCCCTCTGGGACCCAGAAACCAGTTGCAGCAAACAAATAGGGGTGGCTTGCATTAGGAGCAGAAAATGAAGGGGATTCCCAGATCACTCCAAGCATCGGACAAAAGTCTGCGTTGCCGATAGGCTGCCCCCACGCTGCAGGGAACAAACTCCAAACTTTGTCTTCCTGTAAGCATTGCTCAGCGCTGGCATGTGTTGGATCACGTGTTTTGTTTCTCGAACCAGGTGTGCTGCTGAGCAAGAATTTGGCAAAACCTTGGTTTATGTTTGTTGCCGAAATCACAGACTAAAGTGTCATGCTACCCACACATTACACATTCATTGACAAACAGTTCTCGTAAAGTATTTCTTTCCTGTCCTTTATTTATTTAGTTTCATTTAGTTTTTTGGAAGTGAGCCCAGTCGTGTACAGAAAAATAATTCTCTGTGAATAATCAGAGGAAACCCCCCACATCATCATAATCCCCCACAGCCCCACCCTGACCCCGCCCTCGCAGCGGAGTGACAAATCCACACAGTTCTCCTCTCGGACGCATCTGTACAGCAGCCCACACTGCTCACATGCTTCCCTACAGAGGAGACCATCATTCTCAGCCATATCAAGCAGTACGGCTCACTTTAGAGGCCGAAGGGGGAAGTGCAGGTTTCAGTGGCTGTTTTGATTCAGAAGGTAGTGGGTTATGGTTCATGTGCGGAGGTGTATGAGATGTGCATCAGACAGGGGATTTCAGAATAGCTCAAAAACCAGTTTAGTGACAGCTTTCATTGAAATGTGCACAGCTTCAGACCTGTTGTTTTCTAATTCTATCCACAAAACTGGAAAAAAAAAGTCATAAAAACCTGTGGATGTTTTTGATAAAATTAAACAAGACACTTAGTTATGTGTTTTTACAAATAAAAGGCAGTGAATTGTTGAGTTTATTTATACAAATGCACTGAAACTGTTTTGCTGTACACTGGTTTGATGAATTGACCTGCTCCAAGAGTTTTAATAATTTAAATGAAACTTGTTTGATTTTGATGTGTAAAAAAGACTAGCTGAACAACTTTAAGGAAGTTCTGTACCAAAACTTATTTGTAACTCTCTCTATATATTTTTTAAATATAATGTTTACCTAAAATATTTGATATGCTTGATTGCCCAGTCATAATAGAAAGAAAATGTTTAATATACTAAGGTTGTTAATATTTAGCTACAAAATTTCTCAAATTACAGATAATTAAATACTTGAGCCGCCTTGTAATAATAAAGCTCAAAATACAAGTTGTCACTTTGTACTTTCACTTTGTACAAAGTGACATTAAATTGCTTAGTAACAGTTTGAGGACTGATGAGTCATTGTCACAGTGGCAAGATTTTTTTCAGGATTTTTTTCCCCTAGAAGGTTAAAAACATATCTTCATGAAAATAAAAAGAATATGCTTGTTGTAGTTTAGTACAAGCCAAATAAAACACTTTTTTAAATACTCAATACCTTTTTGTTGAGGGTTTCACAAATCAGGCAGGTATACTGGTTTTCCTATAAAGTGATGCAAAAAATGCTACTGAAAAAAAAAAACTCACCATTTGTTCTTAGCACTGAGTAAATGTGTTAAAAGCAGGAAGTTGTGATTGTACCTAAAAGTGTCTATTTCGGAACATGACCAAACATAATTTAACAGTCTGTTTATGTATCTGAGTCAAAAATAGATCCAATTACTTAGAATTAATTTTACATGAAGCAGTTATTCAAACCCTACGTAATATTTTACATGTAAATGCTTGTTTGTTGAATCAACCAAATTTCCCCCCCAATGTTAAAGTGTATCTTACCCCCC